TAGTTCCGGAAGTTCAGCCATTTTGAAAACAATTTAGTTGAACTCAGACTGGTCGATTTGGGTTGTGTACAAAATTTCAAATTCGTATCTGCATTAGAAGTTAATAGTTATTTATGGTAAGAGTGTGTTAGGTAGCGTTTTATCCAAGCAAGAATGTTTTTTTTAAATGGATAAAACGCGACTAACACACGACTGCAATATAACATTTTATCCACTATCACAGGCCCAAATTATTCCAAACTTAATTAAAAATTAAACTGACATTTAAACGTCACGCCAAATGTGATTTCGGTTAAACGTAGTAAGCTGTTATGCGGTGCGCTGGTTACTAACAGTGAAATAAAGTTACTTTATTCCACTAGTGGATAAACTGATAGTTGATACGTATCTAAAGTGTGGATTAAAGTCTTTTTATAGGGTGATTGTGGATAAAAAGTTTTTAATGTATGCCCTAAAAGAATCACCTTGTATACGATAATACCAGTTTTAGATGTGGGAATAGAAAAAAATATTTACATAATATGTGAATAATTGTATACAGAGCTATAATTTGCCTGACGATCTGGCGATGCAATCCAAAAAACAATTTTATTTACGCCTTTGATCCAATTTAAATTAAGACTTGCAAGTTGAATCCAAGTTATCAGCGCAAAGAACGATCATTAGTACCAATACAAAAAGTATGAAAGAATGAAACATTAAAGGTAGGCAAACAGTTTTTATAAGTTTTTATAAATCAAAAATTGCTTGTCAAAGCACTGTCAGAGCCAACATAAGGAAACTTGGATTGCAAATGCAAATCGTAATTAAATTTAGATCAAGACGTAAATGAAATTTGTTTTTTGAGTTGCATCGCTAGAACGTCGGGCTCATTATCTTATCTGAATCTCTCTGTATATTATATACAATTTTTCTGAACTGCTACAAGCTAGATTAGATTATTTTATTTTGGATTCTGAAATGTAGGTACTTTAAACAAACTTTGTAGTATATACAGGGCTTTCATTTCAAAAGGAGCCAGTCTCAATAACTTTTGACATTGAGTAAATAAATTTTCCAGCAAAAACAGGTCGATTAGGATCGCGAGGGGGAAGTTCAAAACCAACATTAGTTACATTGTAAGTTTCATCCTAGTCGCTAGCCACCAATACTTTGAAATTTTAAATGGCACCCCGTACTTTTTAAAACGTTTTTGGAAGGAGAAAAAGTCAGCGTACCTAAATGTCAAAAAAAAAATTTTTGGCGATTTGTTTTTCAGTTAGGGGTGGTTTAATTCTTGAAATTTTTAGTCCAAGTAGCCTTTGATTCAACTTAATTTAAGTTAAATAAAAAATATGTCAATTTGGGTTGCGATGGGAGAATTCAAAACCAACATAAAATACATTTTGGAATTCATCTTTTAGTCGCTAG